GGCTTACAGACACCATCTTTTTCTCTGCCACAGGCAAGACACTTTGGTCACGCCTCAGACCTCAGGTTCTGAATATGAAGCATATGTGCACTGGAACACACTTGAGCACACACACACACACACACACACACACACGTGCGCTGAATGACTGCTACAGCTTCCAAAACGAGTCAGGAAAGAGTTAGTCTGAATCCATTCATGCCCCTTTGACCTTTCAGTCCTTGATTCTGAGGTTCAAGAGAGAAGTGTAGCTCAGCACGTATTAGCTCTTAACCAAGAGAGCAGTGAAGCTTCAGAAAAGGAAGTCTCTTATTTAAAAAGGGCTTTTCTTTGTTGTTCATTTCGATGTTTAGTTTCGCAAAGGTCACAGGCCCAAAGCACCTGGGAATTACCTTTTGTTGCTGTTGCCTAACTCGCTACCACTCCTATGGCACAGACAACAATGGTGAAATCCTCGGCAGGCCGAGCCCCTCCTGTGCGCTCCTCTCACGGCATCCTCTTCCTGGCTCGGGCTCCTGCTAGTACATGCATTTTTATAATCGTTGCACGTCCTCACTTATTCACGTTCTAGCTACGTAAGCCATCCTGGACTGATGGGGGTCACAACTGTTAGGCTTCCCCCTTAGTCTGGGAAAGGAACCTTTTCTTCCGTTCCTACTGCCCATGAATCTAGTGTGAAATCTTTACCTATGGGTTGAAAAGCCGTAGCACTGAGGAATAGAAGATAACAACTCACTATCCATTCATTTATGCAATGGCCTCTTTGGGGACTTCTAAGTCCTTGATACTTTTCCACTGTCCTTGAGACCCTTTTCATTCACTGGATCCAAATTAGGATGTAGTGTTTCCCCCTGGTTCCTAAGTCTCAAATAAACCCCTCCTTAACCCGGCAAAGCTCCGTGTTGAGGTTTTCCACCGTTCTAAGCTATATGTTACAGATAAGAACCTTAGATTTTACCAATTGCGAGGGAGACAATTGCTGCAGGTAGCATCACACAGTGGTAGAGTGGCCTCGGGTACCTAGGAAGACAGGCTGCAGTCCATCTGTATAATTCTACTTGCGAATACACAATGTATAGATATAAGTAGATTTTAAAAGTCAAGTTTAGGGAATTTTATAAAAAAACAAAACAAACAAACAAACAAACAAACAAAAAACCTCTCCCTTTTTCTACCTAGGAGCAATCATCATTTAAAAAGTATCTAACTAGAGACAAGGAGACTCATAGCAGCCTCAAGTAAACCAAACATCACAGGTCCTTTGTTCATCATCTCTAGGTTATGGCTTTAGATATTTAGAGAAGCAACTATATTAATTTTGTCCATTATTGTAAACATTTAAGGATTGAAGACATTTACTGGAAGGGCTGGAGAGATGGCAAAGTCAGTGAAATACGCGCCATGCAAGCCTAAGGACCCTAGTTCAGATGCCTTGCATCCACATAAAGCTGGGCATGGACACACACCCACAACCCCCAGGCTGAGGAAGCAGAGCAAGCAGATGGCTGGAGCTCACAGGCCAGTCAGCCTCACCAAATCATGAGTTCCAGGTTCAATGAGAGCCTATCTCAAAAACTAACGTGAGGAGCAACTTGAGGAAGACACCCAGCATCAATCAGCCTCTGGCTATCACACACACACACACACACACACACACACACACACACGTACATACACAGGGTGAGGGGGACAATAATATAGTTCTATGTGACTACAGATAACTAATTTCACTGTCTTTCTGTCATGGTTTTTCCAAAATTCAGCATCTGTTCCGGCTTCCTCCTTGGGACTTTTCCAGCACCCCTCCAGCCTCCATCTAGTGTTCCTTCCCAGACCCTCCTGCACTACATGACTGTTACACTGTCCAGAAGAGCTTCTCCTTCTGGCCTGCAATGTCCCTTGGGACAGAGAGTGCCCTTCTGAGGCCATTGCTACTCAGAAGCTGCATAGCTATATTCAAAATGAATTTGTTCACTGAATTAATAAACTCTCCCACCCGTGTGACTCATCCCATGGTCTACAGGGGGGGTGGGTTGCTTTTCTTCTAATTGTAAATATTGTCTCATAGGAAATACAAAGCAGACTCACAAGGAGAAATAAATTACCTAAGTAAATCAAGAACCTAGAAGTAGTGCATATTCTACAATAAATTGTAGCAGATGGCTTTCTAATAATAACCAGCTCTCTCTCTTCTCCCCTTTGCATTATAGGAAATGGGGAGCCATCTTTAAATTTTCTTCTTAATAAATGAAAGAAGAATCCAGGAGGGCAATCATGCCTTCTTGAACTAACTGCTAGACCTCATGAGATTAAAATGAGACAGATAATAAAAACCCATTCCCCCGGGGCTGGAGAGGCGATTCGGTGGTTAAGAGCATTTGCTGCTCTTTGAGAGGACCCAGGTTCCATCCTCAGCACCTATATCAAGCAACTCACAACTGCCTCTAACTCGACTTCAGGAACTTGGACACCTTCTTCTGGCCTCCACACACGAAAATAAATAAATCTATAAAAGCACTTTTCACAGGTCAGAGAGATTTGGAGGGCTGAGAAATGAGAGGTAGAAAGAGCCAATCAATTTTAACGTTTTGTTCTTAGTATGAAAGTATATTTAAAATATCCATTTCTAAAGCATTGTGATGTTTGTGATCAAAGTGTCACAAAATAATGTAACATGTGTTCATAAACTTTTTATCTGATTGGTTGACTTTCAGCAGCCTCAAGTATTGGGCACCTATTATTCCACAGTTTCCACAGCTTGGCTGGGGGGCCTCTGACGCAGGGTTTTTCAAAAGGCTGCCATATTTTCCTGTTAGGGCTGCCTAAGCAAGAAGTTAATTTTTAAGTAGAAAACATCAGCCAGGAGATTAATTGGTGTGGAAAAAAAAATTAAACACAATAGTGAGACTAATGAGAAGAAAAGTCAATGATATTCCTGAGTGCAATATTATCTCATTAATAAAACTGGAAATAGTATTGCAAATCTTTATGAATCCTCAATACATGGTTGATTCTGAAGAAGCAGTACCCGTGGGAAGAGCAGAGTAATAGCGCACCCAAAATGAGTGATATGCAAATCCACTTCACCTTGGCTTTAGGATGTACCCGACCTTATGAATTTAGCCCCACCTCCCTGACCTACAACTTCCCTCTTGTCAGTAGCCTCTGGGACCCTCAGAATCATAGGTTAAGAAAAAATAATTAGTTGGGCAGTGGTGGCGCATGCCTTTAATCCTGGCACTTGGGAGGCAAAGGATTCAGAGAGAAACCCTATCAAGAAAGAAGGAACAAACAAACGATGAACGAATGGAGAATAATTAGCCTAATCAACTCCATCTTCCACTCCTGGCCTCATGCTGGCATAAGGCATTTCTTTAGCCTCTTTGGGTTTACATCATTCTCTTTACTGGAACCTTGACTGCCTCCCAAGCTCCCCTCCCCCTCTCGCTTCCCCTCCTTCCCTGCCTTCACCCCCCCCCTTATTTCCCCTTCATCATTTCCCTTTCCATTTATTTGGGTTTTAATCATCCCTGTCGTTTTATCTTGTCCTCAGACTGTGTTCAGACTGGATCAAGTTTACAAAAGCTCCTAGAACACTATACTTGCCCTTCAGGGCAAGTAACGTAGTTGATAATTACGTATTCATTTGTGCTAAGTGTTTAAGATCCGTCCTACCAACTAGTCTACACTCCTAAAGGAGAGGAGGTGTGTCTGTCTAAGTCATAGAGACTTCCCCTTTCCTCCAGCACTACCTGGCTCTAGATACCTGAGAAATAGACCCCAGGCTCTTCCACCCCGCCCAAGCTCTAACTCTAAGTAGTTACAGAGAAGCAACTGTGGAGGGTTTTGAATAAGAGTTTTTAAAATTGGGTTGTCTAGCAGGACTGCCAGACCCCAAGCACTGTAGTCATCACTTTCATTGTTTCTGTTCGTGGGAAATCTTGCCTATTGAAGTCATCACTGTGCTGTGGTTTGGAGGCTTCCGTCCCTTCTAAACTCCACGTCAAACCTAATCTCCAGTGTAGCAGTCCTAAAAGGTTCAGTTAGGGGCTGATGAGTGGGTAAAAGGGCTTGCTATACAACTCTGGTGATCTCAGGTTGATCCCCAGAATCCACCTGTAAAGCCAGATGCGATCGTGGGCATCTATAATCTCAACACTTCTATGGTAGTATGGGCCATAGAGACAAGAGACTCTCCTGCAAGCTGGCAGGCCAGCTAGCACCACAGAAACAACAGAGGCCACCTTGAAAACAAGGTGAATTCATCAGGAATGCTCCTCACTGCATGCGATGAAGGTTCTTTTTTCTTTGGTAATAGTTCTTTGAGAATTATGCTTTTACTTTATTTTCATGTTTTCAACGTCCGTACCATGCTGTTTTTGTTACTGTGGCTCTGTAATATAATTTGAAATCTGGGCTATTGGTACCTCCAGCGGTTTGGTGATGGTTGTTGTTCAGGATTGTTTTGTGTATCCTAGGTCTTCTGTATTTCCATATGAAATTGATGATTACTGCTTCCAGTTTCCGGGGAGAACAGTGTTAGAGTTTTGATATGGGAAATACTGGATTTGCAGATTACTTTTGGTAGGACAGCAGATAACATTTCAGTGTTAGCCCTGCCAGTCCACAAGCAGGGGAATCTTTGTCTCATCCTCCATTTATTTTTCAATGTCTCAAGGTTTTCATGGCACAAGGATTTCATGCCCATGTGAAATTTATTGTATACAACTGTGAAGACAGAAATCTAGATCAGTCCATTTGAAGGCTTCTGATGCTCCATCAGGGGACAGACTGAGTGCGCTCTCTAGCCCACCATTAAAACATTAAGGATAACACTCAAGGTTTATATTAGGACTAGTGACAGAGACACCCTTTGTGTTAAAATAACCAAAATGTCAGGTTATGGGAATATTAACAGTAGGCGTTTGCTGTGTGTTACCAGAAGATGGGGTGCTTTGTTTCTTATTTTTTTTCCCCTGTGGTGTTATTTTCTCTCACAGGAAGACTTTCCACAGCTTGAGGAGGAATCATGGATTTCAAGAGCGTGAAGGAGTATTTAGCCTGGCTCTACTATCAATACCAAATCATCAGCTGCTGTGCCGTCCTGGAGCCCTGGGAACAGTCTATGTTCAATACCATCTTACTAACCATTGTCGCCATGGTAGTCTACACTGCCTATGTCTTCATCCCCATCCACATCCGCCTGGCTTGGGAATTTTTCTCCAAAATATGCGGATATCACAGTTCAATTTCTAATTGATCTCTCCGGAATCTTGCGAAACAGCATGATGGGTTCCCGTTGCTTACAACTCGTCGACCTAGGGGACTGCGGCATCTTTCACCTCTGACCTGACCAGCGCCCTCTCTATGCACCCGCGTCCTGCCTGGAGTCTGAGCTAGGTGTCCTCCAAGTCGCTTTGGCCCATGCAGCATGGTGTGTGTCCGATGATAGGAAACGCAATGACTTCACCCCGTACCCCACATGCGCTCGACTCAACTCCGTGGCGTTAGATTTCTGTTGGAGATCAGGACGCTTTCAAATAAAACTTTCCCGGGAAATAGGCTTGTAAGAAACCCGACAGAGTCGTATTTAAAATCCTCTCTTCATATCATTCTATATAAGGGATGCGTTACAGAAAGTATTTCCTAGGCTACTGTCAAAAGTACCTGCTCTTGTTTACAATCTATTAAAAGATGTGAATAAAAAAAAAAAAAACCCAAACCTTTAAAGTCTTATTTTCTGGTAAATAGCCGATACCTAAAATTATTTTTTTCTTCTTTTTAAAATTTTCATTATATTTGTTTTGCCTAAAATTCTTTTACTTCAAATGCAAAAGAATAGGCCAGAGACAGTTATTTTCTTTTAGATATGGTTCAGGCATTGTTTCAAATGCCTCTGAAATCTGACTTTATCATAGCTTTAAATGAACCATGATATTAACTAAACAAGTAAATATTGTACTAGAGAACAGCTTAAGTTTAAAAAAATAAATATAACCAAAGCCAATTCAGATATTGTGACTTTTGACCATGCCCTGTCTTGCATGATGCTGGAGGCGAGAGGAGAGAAAGGGTTGTTTTCCTGCGCCTTCACTGAGTGAAAGGAAAATTGCATGTCCTGGGCTACAGGAAGAAGCTAATAAATAGGCTGGAAGTAATAGTCTACCAGCAGGAAGTCGACAGCTCCAGTTAAACCCTTTGATATAGTGGCTCCATTGCACAGCAGAAGCAAGATTTATTAAATTTCTCCCAAAATGTTTATCTTCAAAACAAATGTAAGATTTTAATTATAGTGCTGAAACAAACATGAAAGTCAAAGACCGAGCCTTGCAGCTTTTCTTTCCTCCCGATAAATATCAATAGTATTCTGGAGGGTAAAAAAAATAACCAGGTTTTGGACAACACTGGCACCTTTGTTTTCGAGGGGAAATATTCCAAGGGGAGCTAAGGAGAAAGATATTTGGCATGCAAAATCAACTTGCACGTCTGTTTAAAAATAAACAAAGCATACTTTTTGAAGAGTGACCAGATATGAATATGCGCTTGTTGATTTTTCCAAAGTAAAGTTTACTTTGATAAATAAATGCACAGTTTGGTCTCTTTTTCCCTTTCTTCACCGTACGCTATAGTGCACTCTCCAAATAACCTCTACTGACTTTACCCAGATACTGATCTCAATGGTAGAATAAAGCTATCCTTGGCCAACCAGCTGGTTACTTTCCCTATTGCCGTGACAGAACTCCAGAAGGAGCAGCTTCAAGAGGAAGGGTCTTCAGGATCACTGTTGGAGGCACAGCACATGGCGGGGGAGCAGGCATAGCCACAGGAACATGAGGCAGCTGGTCACACTGCAGCCACAGTCAGAAGACAGAGAGCAATGAGCGCAGGTGCACAGTCTGTTCTCTCCTTTTAATTCAATCCAAGACCTTAGTCCGAGATATGGTGTTGCCCATTTCAAGGTGGAGCTTTCAAATTTGGTTCAGCCTTTCTAGAAACATCCTCAGAGACACACCAGGAATGTTTCCATGGTGATTCTAAATCAAATCGGGTTGACAATGAAGATTAGCCCTCATCTTAATGAACTTCTCAATGCTTGACGTGCCTTTTACAGGTTGCATGACTTCAGCTGCATGCTGAAGTCGGTAGCTAGGTCTCCCAGTTGCAGGAAAGGAGCCTGGAGCTTAGAAAATGCAAATGTCTTGTTTGAAGGCAGTTGGGTACCAGCAGCACAGCAAGGTGAGGACCACAAGGAAGGCCATGGGAGAATGGCGTGAGCTATGGGCATCGCTGACAAGTTAGAAAGCAAACGACCATCATGTGACAAAGGCAAGAGCATGGATAGACAGCCATGTCTGGAGTCCTAGCCACTGTCTTTGCTATTGTACTTGGGGGACCTGTTCGCCCAGCTCTCTTGCCAGCTTAGAGAGAGATCGCTTTTACTTTTAGTTAACAGTTGAAGGATGAACTTGAATGCATTCCCAGTTCGCAGTGATTCAGCACCCTTCTGTAGGTGGCTTCCTGCTGAGTACTTGTAGAGTTCAGTCACAAAGATACCGCTTTGACCTTCAATGCTACCTTCTAAAAATAAGAGTTAAAGTAAACGCCAATAGAGAGAGGAGAAGTTAATAAAGGATTATTACAGAATGCCAGCCTGGGATATCACTTCAAAGCAATCATTGTCTCTGAATAATCACAAGTAGTCAATACAGGGTACAAAAAGCATACTCATACAGATTTTTTGTTTATTTGTTTGTTTTAAAGCTACGGAATATGGCGGGAAAGAAAGCCACATCTGCCTGCCTGCTGCTGCTCTAGGCTTGGCAGAGCTTTTTTTTTTTTTTTTTTTTGAAGAGAGACCAGATATGAATATACGCTTGTTGATTTTTCCAAAGTAAAGTTTACTTTGATAAATAAATGCACAGTTTGGTCTCTACATTATTGAGCTCTACATTTTTCTCTCTCCCCTCCCTACCTCTCCCCTCCCCTTCAACCCTCTCCCTTGGTCCCCAGGCTCCCAATTTATTCAGGAGATCTTATCTTTTTCTACTTCCCATGTAGATTAGATCCATGTATGTCTCTCTTAGAGTCCTCTTTGATGTCTAGGTTCTCTGGGGTTGTGATTTGTAGGCTGGTTTTCTTTGCTTTATGTTTAAAAACCACTTATGAATGAGTATATATTATATATAGTATATATTATATTTGTCTTTCTGTGTCTGGGTTACACCACTCAATATGATGTTTTCTAGATCCATCCATTCCTGCAAATTTCAAGATGTCATTGGTTTTTCATTTGTTTGTTTGTTTGTTTTTACTTTGCCTTCAGCCCGGACTGGAAACACTGCATGCTTTCCCTTTGCTTCCGCTATTCAGGGATTTCAATGGTATGCTTAGAATTTAAAACAAGATTCCAGAGGTTTAAGATTCCAGAGGGCTAGTGTTTGTCTTTCGTGGGACCAAGACCCATAAGCTGTTCTTTCCTCAGTATTGACCAAGGCTATAAATTAATACCCAAACCTGTTCTACCTACTTATATAACAACAACAACAAACCTACAATATGAAAAATGCCAAGAAACCACTTTTAATATAACATCGTTGATTAGTCTACATTACATGTAAAAAAAAATCACTAACATTTTTTTTTACTTGCTCCTTTTCTGCCACTAACTAATTGGGGTCCTGTAACTCATGTGCTCCCAGAGAACAGAGTCAGCTTGTTTGTGAATGCCAGGTGGTTGGTACAGGGATCAGCAGGTGCCCACTACCAAGAGCGTGATTCAGCTCCCCAAAGTCTGTACAAGGAAGCTCAGCCTGTGTATTGGGCCCCTCCGCATGAACAGCTTCCAATTATCGACCTAAGAGTAACTTCCATTCACATGACAGATTCATTAAAAGTTAACCAGGCATCGATACATAGATAAAAGGAGTTGAGGGGCAAAATAAATAACTGCTAAAAAAAATTACAACAGATGAGGTGACGCACATTCCAGAGTTCGTAAGAAAATCCTGTTATCTTTGAAAATTTGAAAAAATCTTAGCCTACTGTATGCTGTATGCCAGCTGTTCAATTAGATAAGGAAAAACTAAACCAATGAGACAAAAATTGAAATTGTGAACACACACACACAAAATGCCACAGCTCCCAGCAGAAAGGGAATAAAAGATAGCTGATCCTGCAGCCAAGTTTGAGTGACTATGGCCTGGAAAAGCACAGATTTAGGTCACCCCACTTCCTTGTCTTCCAAAGAGGAAGTGGTTTTGTAATATTAGAACAAAGAAAGTCATAAATCAAAGCAATCTGAAAACACACTGGTGAGGACATCAAAAGAGTGGGTTCAGTCAGGCAGATGAGCCTCAGACATTACCCGATCAGATTCTTAGTCCTTAAATTGGTGGAGAATATGGTTTGAACCTAATACATTGTGGGGATTTTAATCTGTTTATCCGGATGTTAGGTCTGACTTAGAGATGGCCAAAAAATGACTATTTGGTAGGCTGAATATCACTCAAGATACCGCAACCGGGCTCCGAAATGGCAACACTCCAACCTCCTCACAGTTGTGAATGCTGTAGCCGGCCCATTCGCCTCTGTGCACACAGCTTCTTTCCAAGAATATTTTTCTTTCATAAAATATAAAAACCATCTGGATTTATGCACAAATAAATTAGATGTTTGGCAAGAGAGCAACTAAGAAACAACCAAAATACTGAACAAGTATCGAACCAATATCACAAATTTTGATCGGAGCTGGTGAAAAACCAGCAGAGTTTTGAGGAGGAAGCAGCAGAAACCTGGAGACGGCAGAGCACAGGGTGAAGGTAGCCAGCGCAGCTCCTGTGACTGAGACGCAGAGCCAGGCACCCATCCGGGAGGACAGTGAGGACAGAGAAGTGGGGGCTGGTGGGTCAGAGCAGGCACAGCACACAGCCTTTGCACAGAGGAGCTGGGTGGAGGCAGTGGCTGAGTCAGAACAGCGGATGGTCTGGGATGGTGTACAGATAAAGCTAGGAAGTTGAGGCAGTTTGCTGATGCCATGACTCCATTAAATATTACCCCCTGTGGTGGTTTGACAGAAAAGGGTCCCCAGAGGAATGGCACTATTAGGAGGTGTGGCCTTGTGGGAGAAAGTGTGTCACTGTAGGGGCGGGCTTTGAGGTCTCTTTTGCTCAAGCATCCCTCAGTGTGACAGTCAATTGACTTCCTGTTGCCTGCAAGATGTAGGACTTTCAGCTCCAGCACCACATCTGCCTGCCCACCGCCATGCTCCTCATTATGATGACAATGGACTGAACCTCTGAAACTGTAAGCCAGCCACCCCAACTAAATGTTTTTCTTATAAGTGTTGTCGTGGTCGTGGTGTCTTCTCATGGCAATTAAAACCTTGACTAATGCACCGTGTGTGTGTGTGTGTGTGTGTGTGTGTGTGTGTGTGTGTGTGTGTATTTATAGACACACAGATAGACAGATAGATCGGCAAAGCACAGTGTCACAGGCCTGTGATCGCAGCAGGGACTGTGGAGGCAGCTCAGTAGTTATATAAGACAAACATTCATGCAGGAAAAAGATCCATACATATAAAATAATTTTTAAAAAATTTAAAGAGAAGGAAGCAGGAGGATTGAGGGTCTGAAGAAAACCGAGGATGCAAAGCAAGAATCTTATTATTACAAACTCAAATTGTAAATAAAATTCTGAGATTTTTGTCTTTAATCATAAAATATCCTAAGACACAAACAAAATGTAAAACACAAAGGAAAGTTCTTCTTCATTCTGGGACGTTACTTTCTAAACCTGGCTATGAAAAGAGGATAAGATCTTTTCTAAAGATTGAAGGGGGGGAGGAATCAGACTTTTCTTCCCTACTTTTTTAGTTTTTAAAGCTTTGTCTGGTTGGAAGAGGAAATGCCGATTTTCCAGCATGAAATGGAATCATTGTCTAGACACTTTGCATTATCAAACTGACTAACATATCAATAGCATGATTGCTCCTGGACTTAAAGCGTTCTGACCTTAGAGCCCATGAGATAGTTCAGATATGACGACTTGCGGTTCATCCCTGCAGACCGCAGCAAAGACAACCAGCCCCGACAAATTGTCCCTAGCCGCTGCACAAGTGGGTGTATGTGCACTCGAGCAAGGGAATGTAAGAAGAATATTTTTAATTATGTTCGCACTCTATGGAGAGTTTAACAGGCAGGGAGATCGAATTTCATGGCTGGGCCTCCCTTCGACTCCTTCCTGCTTTATCGGGCTATGCAGATAGCAGAAGCCTCAGCTGTGGGACAGCTCACAGACAGGCAGGGCCGCCCACTCTCTAAATCTCATCATTGCTCAGAAATAACAAGAAAACAGGAAGCAGCCTCTCACCTTATTGCAATGACAGAACTTATTTCCAGAGCTTTCTTGCGAGCCTTTGTATGCAATCCAGATGTCTCCCGTTGACAACAGGCCCCCTTCTAATCCCTTTGATGGGAATTCAATATTCAAATTGCTTGTTTCAACATTACTTTCTGTGTCTTGCTAGTGAAGAGTGCTGACTGAGGTGACACTTTGACCCAGGAATCTGAAGGAGCATCAGCGTAGACTAAAAAACATAGGACCAGACATATGCCCCCTCCACCGCCCGCCCCCACCCACCACGCATGTGCAGGCGCAGGCGCACACTCAGTCTGGAACTCCCAACCGCAGCTGAGGCAGGTAGATTTCACAGAGCCCGTGATCCTGGTGGTTAGGGATTCAGCCGTTGGAAAGAGCTACCTGTCCCATAGCGCTCACACATCCCATGCATCCATGCTCGAATTGTTTAAACTCTGAGTAAGAGGCCTGGGGCAGGAGAGGAATGGGTAAGGTGGGGAGAGGGGCAGGCAAGAGAAGAAGGAGGGGAAACGCAAGAAAGAAGAGTGCAGAAAAGAGAAAGGCACCCTTTCTTTTTCATCTCTGTGTCCAAAATGGGAAGGTCTAGTGAGTTTCAAAAGACAAGCATCCCAACAGATTCAGCTGAGAATTCTAACTGGTATTTATTAGGAAATCCAGAATTGTGCACCACCTCACTCTGTAACCCTGAATTGAAAAGAGGGAGTCAGCTTTATGGGCAGAAAAGGACTGAAGAAAAGAAAAGCAGAACTAAGAACAGAAAGCAGCGAGACTGTCTGAAGGTAATTTTCCCTAAAGGGCAACACAGAAACGACTTCTCTGCTCGGCCAGGTCGGGCAAGCTGGACCCATTCCAATTGGTCGCTGTGAATTTTGGGTTTGGTTTTTCACTCTCACTCCTAAAGTGGCCCGTTTTAAAGTTCCTTTTGATTAGTGGCACCTAGCAGAAGCGATTCCATACTGGTTTGGTTGGTCTGCAGGTATCTTCAGAGGGAGCTTGGCCCAAAACAGTAACTTCCCACAAACTTATTAACCTAAACAGACTTCAGCTCTCTGATCTCATCTCCCTGGGAACACCCCTGACCACACGGATTTCTCCCTAACAAAAGCCATAACTGAATGTCTTACTTCCTTGTTCGTATTAATACTTCAATTCCTTTTGTTAAAATAATTCACGTTCCCAAAAAACTTCAATAAATATGAATAAGCAGACAGCTGATGCCTCCACTCTCCAGGGGCTTCTAGTAAGTCCCCCCCCACACCTCACTATCTTCTAAAGGCTCAACAACTCAACACCCTCGGGTGCAAAAAGGGGTCTGTCTGTGGAGTATCTCATTTCAGATACTCTTCCAGTTTAAAGAATCTATATTATTTTAAATTACAGTGATTCTTAACTTTATGTTTTCTGCAGTCAGTTTCCCTAGTTGTTGGCAGGACACTGGCCTTTCCCTGAAATGCTAGAGCATCTCATGACCCTATTGTTCTGGGGATGAAGAATGGTTACAGATGACAACAGA